CCAGCCCTAATTAGCTTGCTGAAAATTTCCCTATATAGGCAAGATCGGAGCTTAGGCAGTTCCTTCATCAGCTCCTGCCTCCTGTCAGCGCGTGGGGCATGCCAGGAAGGACATAGCCGGGTAAGCCGGAGGTCTGTCCTGTCCATGATCAATCCAGAAAAGACCCCAGGCAACTGAAGGTAAGAAAATCAGCACAGACAGGGAGCTTCTTCAAAGTATTCAAAAATTATGGGGGAAAAAAAAAAGGGAAAAAAAAAAGAAAAAAAAGGCATCGGACACCTTCACTGCCTCCTTCCCGAGATGAATGAGGTCAGGGAGCAATGCAGGAATGCAGCACCAGGAACGGTGGAAGCTGACACATGCTACCAGCCTCTGCCTACGCTGAAAAGGTCACCTGTTCTCCCATCTTACCAGCCTTCCTTACAAATTTGGAGTGGATCTCTCTTCTTTTCAGGCATGTCAGAGCCTAGAAATTCTATACAGAAAAACTCTACACACTGCAGTTTAAGCAAAAGGCTTTTAAAACAAATACCTTGAAACCCGAGACAAACTCTCTTGCTAGTCCCATTTTGCTCCCTCCCTGCTGTTTCTCTCCCCTTTTCTCCCCCCGCTATATCCCACTTTCCCAATATTTGTGGAGTTATTGGCTTATGAGTTATGGAGTTTGATTGGAAGCAAAAACAACAATCCTACCCACTGGCAGGTCATCAGCTATAGCTAGATTAGGTCAACAAACTATAAATCAAGTATGATATTTATACCAACGTCCACACAGGTAATTCAGTGCTGTGCCATTGCGGCCTTGGAAGGGCACCTTGGCCTGATTGAAGCAGACAGCAGTTTTGCTGTGGCATTCTCCAGGGCCAGGATTTCACCCGTATGGAAATCTATCATACAAAAACGTAAATCAGCTGCACGTCAAGAATGGAGCAGTTCTTCCTATCACTGCAACTTTAAACAAAACACTTATTTTTAATATGGCTTGAATTGGAGCCAGGGAGTAATACAGCTAAATCTGCGCGCCATGCTTTTCCAGTTACTTATTCTCAAGTAATATGTATCCAATTGAGCAACAATAACAAAGAAAGAACCACACATGTACTCTTACGAAACATATTTAAAGCATTTGGTAATTTCCAATGAACAAATAGGACGCGACAGATGGATTGGAGAAAGTTGGGTTCATCAGAGCTGCTCATGCAGGGACAAAAATAAGTGTTGCCCTAGGAAAAGGCCTGCAAATTGGGGCCTGTTGATGGAAACTCTTTCTCTGGGCTTATAAGTTTATATCAAAAGTTACTGTAACCAGTTATATCTCTGTGTCCTTACCTGACCGCATAGACAACAGCAAAAGAAAATAGGAAGCAAAGCAAGAAATTCATCTGGAGTGAAGACTATGTTTATTGTTTCAAACTTTGCATACTCAATCTGGTCACCCTCTTAGGGAGGAGGTTGAGCTCAGCAGAAGTTTCCTGAACAGAGTCTATGACCTAATGACACAGTATAGAGACTGTTACAACAGAGGCTGAAATTCAAGCCGATAAGATTTAGAGAAAAAAAAAATCTTTAAGGCCAAATTGTTTCCTGTCGGTTTATTGAAGGATCCCTTACTTTTGACTGATTGACAAGATAAATTCTTGTTATTTTGCAATAGGAACAACTCTGAAGAGCACCAGATGGGGAGCACTGAGGTAGAAGGGCTCAGCTGAGCCTTCGGTTTTATAGCTGGTTTTACTACATTTAGGCTATGATCCAGCACTCATTGGCCTCAGTGAACTTTGGATCAGCCCCTAAATCATCCGGAGATAACTATTATGCGAGTAAAAACCTTTCCAGTCCATGCATGTACATGAAAATGCTTGGAAGCTTTAAAACGTACTGAAGAAACCCCTCATGATGAACACCGCTTTTGCCACTGAGATCAGCAGGTGTCCTCCCCAAATTTTCTCCTTCTAATATGCCACCAAAATCGAGCTGATAGAAACCAAATAACCAGAACTCTGTTTTACAATAAACAGAAGGAACCTCTTCAGACCACAGATGCAGCCTTAATATATGCATATACACTTTCCCTTCCTTCCCTATCCATAATGTGCCCTGTAGGATGCCTCTAATCTGCTGCAAGACTGTGAGTGACAAGAAGAGGAAGCAAGAATGGGGAGTTCACTAAAACTTCTGTCCAGCAACCTGGGAAATGGCAGAGCTAACACTGGACCTTTGAAAACAAGTGACCATAGGAAATCAAGGTTGGCAGGGATTTAACCCTTCAGGACTCATTTGGTAACTTTTAAAGCAAATGCCTGGACTTCTTAACCATGTTTGACATCTAATTAGTCGAGAAAAACAAGAAGGTAAAAAACATCCTTGCTACTCTTTTGAAATAAGGCACTGACAATTAGCTCCAAGGTATTTGTTTAGGCAAAAAAAATACAAGCCTGCATGTTAAAACAAAGCACAATGTGAGTCAATGAAAAGAGAATTCACTTGCTTCACTCTTTTTACCCTGCATATTCTTTTCAATATCTTAAGTTTATTTTACTAGACCTCAGTTCATTATGGAGAGGCAGACTGGAGAAGTAACTGGAGAGGTTCTTTCTCTGATTGCAAGTAGTTTGAATAGAGATGAATCATATACCAATATATAGAGCAGGAATACATCCTGAAAGATACACATGAATATGTAAGGCATTCAATCAGTGTCAAAAAGACATATTTTCAATAGCTGCAGCTCTTAAGGCAATTTGTACACCAAGTGTTAACATTTATCTCTCTATACCATGCTATGCTGGAAAGAAAATTTGTCTTGAAAAGCACCAACTGATAAGCCTTAGTTTTCCCTGCCTAATAATGATATCCCTGTACTTAGGGATCAATGCAGCCGGACATTCAACACGTTCCTTTTGACCTGGCCAAGCATTTACACTGGTACTTAACTTTAAGCATGTGAGTAGTCTGATTTGAGTTGTAGGGTTACACATGTTTTAAGTCAAAGATTGATTAAGTACATATATGAATCAAAGGCAAGAGCGTGAATTCCTGAGTCTTCAGACATTGAACTTGCTTCCAGTTAAGCATGCATTTAATTTCTTCACTAGATTGGAAAAGAGGTTGCTTGATGTTTTGTACTCATTTTCTTTTTACAGTGATTTACATTTTTACAGTGATGAAAAAAAAAAAAACAGTTTCAATGTTCTTTTCAGTTTCCTGTTTTACTCATATAGGACTATATATTAAAATCTGATGTCTCCTGATCTAAAAAAAAAAAATAAAGAAAATTAGATTTTTTCTCCCAGCAAGAGCAGAACTGGAAAATAACCAATCAGCAGAATAACTAAAGGCTGCTAAACTGTATATGGATACAGTAGTGGGAGAAAACTCTGAGCCAGATCTGGCCACACTCTCTGAAATTAGTTTCCATGAAATCAGTCACTGTCAACAGGGACAGCAGACCTGGGCCACCAAGAAACTTTAAAAGGATAAAAAATAATAAATGATAATTAATTAGCCATTAAAGCCCTTTACAGGTATTTTTATAGGATTTATATTTCTATATATTAATCTGAGTTTCCACAGAATTATGAAAGTTTGGAAGAAATTAAGAGTTTTTTTTTAATGTGGCATGTTCATAGCTGTCTTCAGATACCATTATGCAAAATAATCTATTCTGTGTTAAAATTAAATGATTTTTTTTCTTATGAAAACCAAAGGAACACATTCAGAACCCTTAAACTGTTATTTTCACACACACATATATATCTTTTCAAGTTTAAACATATAAAAATATGCATATATGTGCTCTAATGAAATTGCATTTCTCATATGATGCCTCCAAGTTTTGCAGGTGCTTAGTTTTCAGATCTAAAGTGCGCAAACGATGCCTGCCTTGCACCAGAGAGAATTTTACCCTTCTCCCATTTGCTGCACAAGAAGGACAGATGAGAAAAAAAATAAACTAGAAAGCATATTTCTACTGGCAAGAAGTGTATTGACACTGCACTGTAAACTGAGCCTGACATCTATGACCAGGCATGCACACACATGTTCACTTTTTTCCACTGCAGAAGCACTGTGCTACTTTTCCTCCCTCCCCTCAGACCTGTACCTGCTTCTCCTTCCCTCAACCTTCAATAATGTGACAAATACAAAAAGTCAGCACTTCAGAGAGAAAGACAGATACATAGACACCCTTTTTAATGATGATACTGCACAAATCCTACAGTTTAAAGTTCTTCCCCCAGTTGCATATTGCCCAGATGCTGTGAGTTCTTCCTAAAATGTATCTACAGAGGAACTATACTCATAAGAAAGTCTGCCTACTTCAGAGCCCTCCTTTAGCACAGGCACTGTGATACACAAGTTAAGTACTGACATTGCAATGTGAGTAAGTGGCAATACACCATTCGCAAGGTAAATGCAACTTTGCAGCTCCCTTTCTTCAGTTACACCTTCCCTGTGATCACTAATGAAATACATCACACTGCACCGAGAACAGTTCCAGTTCCAACAAATTGCACCGCGTTAAACATCCATAGGCAGCGTTTCCTAGCGCCTAACAGCCCTTTCCTCCTTTTCTGGGCTGATCTGCTCCTTTCAGTTTATAGTTTCTTGGCAAACCCACCATCTACTGCTTATGTTAGGCATCTGATTGTCAGATTTGCACAGGCTGAATATTCATGACTCGAAAATTAACCACTTCATGCCTTAAAAAAAAAAAAAAGGAAAGAAAAAATTCTAAAAAAGTGCATATGTATATATATATATATGTATGTATGTATGTATGTATGTATCTTCCCCTATGGCAGGCTGCTCGCTGGGGCTGCCCTGTGTGCCCGGGGCCGAGCCGGGCGAGGGGGTACCGAGCGGGGGATCCTCAGAGATCGCCCCGAGCACCGCTTTCTGTTTGGAAAGATATGAGGGGAAACGCCAGGGGAAGATTTGTTTTAGGCGGGGTAATAAATAATAACAAATAATACAAAAGAGGAGAAAAGAAGCAGACTTACCTTTGTAGGACAATTTGAGCCTGGGCACGTTGTTCTTCCCATGCTGGCAGTTCACGCGTCCCGCTAGGAAGACTCCCCAGGAGAGCAGGGCAATCCCGGCGAGGCAGCCCATGCTGCAGCGGCGGCGGCGGCGGGGTGCGCGCCAGCCGGGGCCGCGGCGCTGCG